CCCTTGCAACCTTGCCGGACACAGCAAGTGTTTTTTGCGAACCAAGCCAGCAGAAACCCAGAATGTGTTTGTGTACTTGGACTCATTGAACGCCTTGGATCGTATGCAAAAAGCCACTGGACATAGACCTGATGCCAGATGGTCATCATCTGTCTTGAGAAAGGAGCTATCAATAATCATCGTGGCTAAGGTTTTGTGTGCCAGCATATTGTAACTCGCTGCCCAAGCATGTTCCACAGTCATTGTATTCAACTCTGGCTTCAGTCCCATGTAAGCCTTATTGATTGTGGCTGGTGTCTCCAACCCTGATGGTCTTGCAGATGGTGCCCAGCGGCATGGGTCCGCCATAATGTCAACAATATCTGGATATGATGCAAGGCATTCTTCCCGAACCTGTTCCACAACTGGTCGTACCTTGCTCCATTTGGAAGTCTTGGTAACCCCCACGCCCGCACTCCCTAGCTTGTATTTGATTCCAATTCTAGATGACCGAAGATCACTCCGAATACGAGGGGCATGCTCTTCTTGCAATTTGAGCATTTTGTTCACGCGCTCACATTCTCGAACATCACTTTTCCACGTAATGCAAATGGAGCGGAAAAGCCAGTACAACCGAGGATGAACTTTGCCTGTTGTTGATGTAGCTACAAGCATTGCTTGAAAACGGTTCTTGATCTTGGCAGCGTTGACTTCCAGTCTTTTGACATCTGTTTGCAGCAGTTCCCGAGCAAGTGCTGCTCTTTTTGGACATGACTGATCCATAGGAGAGTACGCCAGCCACAGTAATTTGTATGGATATTTTTCCAACGGTCGGACAACACGTCGCTCAAAGCCAGAAGCATTGTGCAAAAGCATGCGAGAAACCACAACTGATAAAAACAAAGCATCTTTTTTGTTGAGGTCTGTGTACAAAGCCTTCCATTTATCAGAATCACCTGAGTCAGTGCTGTTGCTGCTGCAATACCAAAAGAAAGAATTACCTAATGAACATATCATCTCATCTCAGTGAAGAAGAAGAAATAAGAGCTAGCGCACCACATATATTGTATATGATATTTGCAGTAATTAAAGCTCTACTTTGTGTTTGCAGGTTATTGAGGTTCATAGTCATAGTCAAGATTTGGTGCAAAGCTGCTGCATGACTGCATGACTGAATAGAATAGGATGAAGGTCTATTGCGTAAAGCGATGGTGTTCCAGTGTTTTAGTGTTTCATTATGAATCTTACCTTACCTTACTGTTTACTGTTTACACTGCTTACTTACCAAATGAAAAACAACTCAGTAAAGAAAAGGGTCGAAGTAGTTCTTCAAATTCACAATGTATTGATGCAGCTTTCCCAAACACAAGCTCTGCCAAAGGCCCGGGTTTATCATCTCCATCTCTGGTGGATGACTTCTTGATGAAGAAGGACAAATGCATGATGGGCCCACGAGTTTGATTCATTGCTTCAACCATTTTGCCCCACAGATGTTCTGCAGCTGTCCGCAAGGCTTGTCCACGCCATTTGCTCATCCGAATAGTGTATGCCTTTGTTTGTTCAATGTCTAACTCATTCGGCACGGTTTTTCTTGACTTCATCTCAGAAAGTGTGGCATCATTGACTTTCTGCTTTTTCTTCATGATTTGAACAGCTGCTCTTAGCTGGCCCAAAGCGTGCCACCGACTTTTCCCATCATCATCATCATCAGCGGTCAAAAGTCCAAGCTTTTCCAAACTGTGCAGTTCTTTTGCATCTATGGCTTTGCTTGCTAGGACATCTGCTAGGCACACTGCTATTTGATAAAACCCAGCACCCAAAAGTCTTGACTCCAACTCGTGAATGCGGTTCCATCGTTGAGAGACAGGCTTCGGAAATATAGCCTTGACTTTCCTCCCCTCCAAAGTACCAAATTGAGAGCAGTATGACTGATAGAAAGGCAGTGAGACCTCTCTAACTGTGTTGGCAAAAATAGCCAATGACCCCCAATATTGCCAATCACATTGGTACGTTTCCAGAAGCTGATCTGCCAACATCAGGCTCGAGGCCACTATCAAGTGTGGTGAATGTTCAAAGCAATCTGCTTCCAAATAAAGGCACAAACATTCCTCCACATGACTTGCCTCGTTCAGAATAGCTTTGCGTGCAAACTTCTCATTGGAGCCCTGGTCAGATGTTACAAGGAAAGCGATGTCAATGAGATGTCCGCTCCTGGTCATTGAGTCATTGACCCAAATCATTAGCTTTAAAGTTTGAAGGTCAACAAACAACTAACAAATAACAAAACAAACTACAAGCAGAGTTGTTTCTTTCTACCAATGCCAATGTCGCTTACTTTGCTGTCAAGTCTCCTCTGCCCCGACTTGCAAAGATCTGTTGACTCCCTCCATGAAGGACACCCTTGAGAAGCAAAGCCACGCAAAGTGATTCCTACACATCCAGGCCCAGATTCATCTCCCACCTGAACGATGTCCGACAAAAAGTTTGTTCTCTGAAAGTCATTGTAGGTAATGCAGTGTGCTTCTTCCTCGGACACACCAGCAATGTACATCGTCTCTAGCTCCATGCCTGACAATTTCACCTTCCCATTTGTGGCATCTTGCCTGTATGAATGAATAGAAATGCAGAAGCCTTTTGAAGATTGCTCAAAAAGATCATGTTTGAGCTGTGAGTAGAACAGCCTGGCAGCCGCAATCAAGCAAGCGCCCATACGCTGCTCACATCGTGCAACTGTGGTAGCTGATATGTCGTCCAATATCGTTTTGCCAAAGTCAGCACAAGATATACTACTGAAGTTCCTTCTGACCTTACTGGTGTTGAAACCAAATAGCCTACGGCCTATAACTACAAGAAGCTGGCGCTGACCATTGGGGCCCATTGGGGACATGAACCAACACCGTGGTTTCTATAAGACAACGCCAACAATGAAAATGAAAATAGCCAAAAACTATACAATTTGACTGAGGAGCAGCAACATTGATGGAACCTGACGGTGTCAGCCAGCTCCATTTTAGTTTCTTGTGCTCTATGTCGTTGATTCTGTGTGCGTCGAAATCACGTTTACGCTCATACTGCTTCAATGTTTGAGAATGATTGTCGGCTTCTTCTTCCCGCTTTTGTTGAAGTCGCCGCAGCTGTTGTTGGAGTTGACGTTTCTCCAAACGAAGACGATTGATGGTGGCATCTTTTTGCGACATCAATGTGACCAAAGAAGCAACATCTGTATCTGAAGCTGAAGCTTGACTACCTTCAGAGAAATGCCCATGTTGTATCAAAGTTTTGGTTCTCATAGCTGCAGATCTACCTACCTTGGAGAACAATGTCACACCAGGCCCATGGTGGGAGTCACTGTGCGCTTCACTGGAACGTTCCAGCAGCCCTTCAAAATGCGACATAGTTGTAGAAGGAACACGCTCTGAAAGTAAATCTTTGTCGGAAAGGGTTGGTATCTCAGCAGCAGCACTTCCTGCATTGGGTTCTTCTTCAGAAAAAACCACTGAATTCAGAAATTGGCCGAATTCATCATGGCCAATTGTGAAGCCAAAGTCTGCCAGAAGAACAATAACAATGTGTATTAGGAAGAAGCCCTCCGTTGGCAAGTCGTCACAACGAAATGATTCAGCCGTTCTTGACATGAAGGTTCCAAAGCGCCTCCAACTCTTTCGTGATTGATTTCTGGAACAGACATGCCAAATTTTTGACAGCCCCTCTTCGTTGGCTACCAACTTTCCACATTCTGTTTTCTGCACGACACTGGCTATTGTTTCTCGAATCTCCCTGGGTGTAGTCCACATGGCGTGCTTTAATTCTGATCCATCAGAACCGAAAGCTGACGATGCCCAGCAAGCACTAGCATACGTATACGTGCGGTATCAAAACAACACACATGTCAAAAAATATTGATAACAAAAATATACCGCAGTAGCAGTTAAAGCATAGAAAAACAACATATCACCCCTTTGGAAAGTCAACAATGTTGCTGACATTACAACGTTGCTCAATGAATGACTGTCTTTATTTTTTTGAATGGAACAGGTATGTGTCAACGTTGATTGATAACTCCAACTCATTGCATTCCAGAATCTGGAGAGAATTATATTCATTGAATATTGAATCAGCAGGCAAAAATCACAAAAAAACAAAGTATGATACACATGAGATGAGCACATGTGCCACACCATGTGGACAATTAAGTGTGGCATGCAATGCAATTTCTAGTGTTTCTTGCTCACATATATGTTGTGAAAACTATTTTGACCCATGAGGTCTCAGCTATGAACGGTGAACGAAACCATACATATATGGAAGTGCTATCAACGCATCACCGAATCAAGTGGCATCAACATACAATGGAGATTGAAGCTCACGAAGTTGAGATCCTTCTTTGGTAAAAACCTTTCTCCAAGATAGTGATAGTTTATGTCTACCGACTGCTACAGGTAATAGGACAGAACGAATATATAGGAAGTGGCTGGGATTGGGGAAACAGCCAGACTTCTTTCTCATTGGGAACTGGATGTACAGGTATACCTCCAGCGACATGGCGACATGGCGAACCGGATACCGCTGGTCCCTGAAAAACGGCCGTCTCCGTCTCTCTGGACGCGTCTAGATCTCTAGACTTTCTGCTGCCTAGGCTTCCAACAACCATTAATTTAATAGGCTTTACCGAATCAACTAAGGATCAACCATGTTTTAAATGGTCTTGGAAGCCTAGGGTGCTGCTACACCTCTAGACCTCACACACACAAGTAGAGGGGCCGTGAAAGTGAACCTTTGAGCATCCACAGAGTCCTAGGCCCCAGAGGCCCCCAGCATGCAGCATGCAGCATGCAGAAAAACATGCCCGATGAGGATCAAAAAAGAACAATGAGCGACCGGTTCCCCGCCAAAGACTTGTGGCCCAAGACTGGCTACAGTGCTTCGCTGTCTGATGAACGCATGACGTATTAGCTGCTTGTCACTTGAAGCATATACCCCTCCTTCTCTTCACATCGTGGAACACGGCCGACCCAGCGTGCCTGTAGAAGCGTGATTGGATGTAGGCATGCCTCGGGCAGCTCTCCGTACACGCTGAGCCAAAGTCAATCAACTTAATCCTGCGCAGCGGCTGCGGCTGCGCAGCGCGCTGGGCAGGTGGCTGGTGTGGGTTGCCGGGTCGCCAGGGAGTGATTCCACATCTTACACCCCCGAGAACTGAGGAAGCAAAAAGGTTGAACGACCAACAGAGGTTGAAGAACCCGAACTAGGCTATCAAATAGGTACCCCACTAGAGTCCTATATGGTCACTTGACCTCTCTTGGGAGGAAGTGAGTTTTTCAAAGCGGCTTTCGATTCTTGAGAGTTCAGTTCGAGAGTAGGTGTCTTTCGGTGCAGCTTCCTCCTCACACCCAACGAACGCCCTCTCCCCACTCTGGAATAAAACGAACAGAGTCCACGCGGGTCGCAGCCGGCGGTCGACGACCATCGTCCAACGGCGCCTGATGGGCGTCATGCTGACAACCATGACGTTCCTCAGCGGAGGAGCGCGACGCGACAGCGCGACCGTCAGATCGAACAGGTACAGTGAGAAAACGGGTGTCGAAGTGAAAACAACAGTACAGAAAGCTTCGAACATCATCCAAAACATCTTCCAAACATCTAAATAACTTTTTATTTTTCCATTCCAAGCAAGAAGAGAACAAGAGCGACCGTCAATCGACGACGACGACGACTACTACTACTCCTCCTACTACTACTACTCCTCCTACTACTCCTACTACTCCTACTACTACTACTCCTCCTACTACTCCTACTACTCCTGCTACTACTACGACTACTACTACTACTACTCCTACTACTCCTGCTACTACTACTACTACT